GGAAGCCATCCTCTGCCCCTCCCAGGGCCCCAGGCCACTCATCCACTGAGACGGGTCAGGCCTGTTTGATTCATTTCTTCCCTCAGCCCCTCCCTGGGCACCCCTCTGTCACTCTCAGGTCCCTCTAAGTGGCCTTGAGGCCATTTCCACCATGGGTAGGCAACCAACTGCAGGGACCTTCAGATATCTGGCCAAGCAAATGGGGTCAGGGGAAGCAGGGGGCTCTTGGGTGGCCTGCAGAGGCCCCCCGACAGACAGTCAGGTACCTCGAGACCTCAGTGAAGCTCCTCCCTCTGAGAACGATCACACCTATTACCATTCATTGAACACCTACTGCTCATCAGGCACATTCTCTTTAATCCTCACAGTATCTTTGGGAGGGAGAGATTATCGTCCCAAGGACCTATCGACCAAAGGACACAGCTGGGATAGATTATCTTCTGTGTCTGACTGAGAGCCCCAATGAGTTATGATTTCAACATGGCTCCCTATGTCCTTTCTCTCTCTCAACTTCTGTATCTTGGCCTTGGGCTAGAGGGTAGCAGGGAGGGCTTCCTGGAGGAGGTGATACCTGCACTGAATCTTCTAAGATGGGGATAAGAAGGTAGTCAGCAGAGGGAGCAAAAAGAGTGTCCCAGGTTGATGGAGTGACGTATGCAAAGGCCCAGAGGTGAGAAGCAGTAGGAAGGCCAGACTGAGATAGAAGCTACAGTTCGGTGTTGCAAGTTCATAGGAAGAGTCTGGAGGGGAGTGGCCACAGGAGCTGGTCACAGAGTTGCTTTTACCCCATGGGTATGTGGGAGGCTCAGGAAGACTCTGAATGGTGGAGTTGCCTGGACAGATAGGAAATCACAGTTCAGAGAGGAGTAATACTGTCTGTGCAATGCCTCCATCCAAAAAGAAGATGAAGCTGGGCCTGGGGTCAGGAATGTGAGAATGGGGCCTGAGGCCAGGCAGCGCTCTGAAGGCCAGATGCCGGCTGTAAGCCCCAGCTGGGAGCTGTGGCCAAGCTTTAATTATTTACAAGGCTGCTTCCCAGAAAGCCCCGGCGCTCCTGCAGCCTGGCCTTGCCCAGCTAATGAACTCTCAACCATGGGAGACCTCGCTGTGCCCACTCTTTATTAGACCTGGGATGGAGGGCTGATGGGGGCTGGGAGAACAAGGACGACCTAAAGAAGCCTGAACTAAGTGGAGGAATTTGAGCACAAAACCAGTCTATGGGTATCCCCAGCCCAGACATAAAGAGAAGCACAGAGATCTTCCCGGAGCTGGGGGGCCTGAAGCGGGGGGGGGGGGGGTGTTAACGTCATCTCAAGAGGGAGAAACTGTGAGGATTTGCTGGAGACAGCACAGGTGCTGTAGTTGAGCGCCTGCATTCACACCCCAGCAATTTCACTTAAAAATCATATACCCAGGGCGCCTGGGTGGCTCAGTCGTTTACGTGTCTGCCTTTGGCTCAGGTCATGATCCCAGAGTCCTGGGATCAAGGCCCGCATCAGGCTCCCTGCTCAGCAGGCAGCCTGTTTCTCCCTCTCCTCCCTGCTTGTGCTCCCACTCACTCTCTCTCTTTCTCAAATAAATAAATAAAATCTTAAAAAAAAAAAAAATCAGATGCCCTTGGGCTAGTTACTTAACCGCTCTGTCCCTTTGTAAAATGGTGCTAATGCGGGTAGTTCGGAGACTTGCTCCATTTTATAGACGTGAGGAGCTCAAGGAGACACATCTCAGGAGGCCGGGGCCTACACAAGTGGTCGTTGCTGTTGTTGTTACTCTGGGAGCAAAGGGCTGGCCAGAGACCAGAACCCCTCTTTCTGCCCCCAGACACTAAGAAGCAACAGGAAACCGGCCAAGGAGCCAACTGGCCTACGTGACCAGGTCCACACCCCAGGATCTCACCCCACTTAGCCTGGCTGGGCCGCCCTTGGGCTTCCTTGAGCCTGGACCTCAGGCTCCCAGCCTTTTCCTCCACTTTGAAGGTCTTCTGAGACTGGAACTGAAGCCCCACAAGCATTTCACTTCCCCATCCTCCCAACTCTATTGGTGTCTCTTGTAAGTGCCAAGTCCTAACCACTGTGGATGAAGATCAGGACTTAGTGGCCCTTAGCTTGAGTTTTTGCTCCAACCCTGAGGAGCTATGTGACTTTGGGGGGAATCATTTCACTTCTGTGAACTCCTGTTTCCTTCTCCATACTATGGGGACCATACCACCTATTTTTAAATGTAAGCCTTGTGAGAATGATATCAGTTATCATCTTTCAAGGCCTGGCTTAGCTATTTCCTCCTCCAGGAAGTCCTCCTTGGCTTCCTCAACATAAAAGCTTCCTCCCTCTAGCCTCCATCAGCTTTTGATATTCTTAGGCTGCATTCTGGCCCCTTTGGGAGCTTGTACTCATTTTGCCTTACCCAGACTTCACTTAGAAATTGCAATGCCCATTTTGCAGGCCTATAGAGGTACAGAGGTGGGGTGGTTCCGGCTCTCTCATAGGGTAGAAGGGCTGGAGTGCCAAAGGAGGGGATCAGATATAAGGCAGAGAGGCTGCTCAGGGAGGAAGCAACAGACTTGAGGGGAGGGTAGTTCAAGGAAATTCAGTTTGGGCAGGCAGCCCAGCATGGGGCGGAGGTGGGGAGCAGGAATCTCCCCACTTGGGGAAGGAGGGGATGAGGAAAGACCACTCAAACACGTAGTCCAACTTAGCTACCCAAAGCCCCCATCCACATTTTTCAAGATTTCTTTGTGGCTCATAGAGTCCCTTTCTAAGGGGCTCATCCATTCCCTTCTCTTTGCCCACCCTGTCTGAAGACTTTCCACACATTAACCTATGATGGAGGAACAGCAGCCCTATTTGGCAGATGAGGAAACAAGCTCAGAAAAATTAAGCCACGTAGGACTGGTACTAACTAGAGCTCCCACCTTTTCCACTCCAAGCCATCTACCTCAGAAGGAAAGCAGGAGGCAATATTGGCCACGAGAGCTCCCCTGGTCCCATCTGGGGTCACCTGGACACAGGCTACTTCACTCCTCCATCTTCCCCAGAGCCTCCCATGGAGATGAGAAGCAACAGGCCCAACACACAGATCATGGCTTTCCAGCCCCTGGATCACACTCTTGGGTCCTTCTGTGCCACACTCCCCACTGCGACAGCCAGTACCCAAGCTAGGAGGCACGTGGACATCTTGACCAAGTTCCGTCACTTTCAGCTGTGTGACCTTGGGCAAATCGCCCCACGTCTCTGAGATAGCACCCCTATCTACAAACAGGGGTGACAAGAAAAACCCGCACAAGATTGTTGTTCTACAGAGCCAGAGATAAGGTGAAACCAACCCAGAACTGCAGTTTCGAGTTTCCTGCCTCATCCTCGGCACTCCATTGGTCAGGCAACCACAGAACAACTCCCAGGGGGGAGACTCTCTATAATATTTTACCCCAGCACTGCCATTTTCACCATTTCAATAGCACTGGGGAATCAATGGTGAGGTTATGATTACGCTTCTGGAAGCGTTAAATTCAAGCTCCTACTTAGCAACTCAGGAACTGTGGAGCAAGTAACTTAACCTCTCAGTGCCTCAGTTTTTTAGCCTGTGAAACAGGCCTGCTGAGAAGAGTGGAGGAGTTCGCCGGAGATAAGCACTCACTGCGGGGCTGGCACATGGCTAACAGTCAGCATGTGTCAGTCGCCTGACTTCCAATTACATTACTATAACTGGTCCTCAGAAACAGGCCAAGAATCATGAGCCCAAGCGGTCAGGTGAGGAAATGAAGACAGGAGGAGACCATGAGCCCAAGAAACAGAGCCAACTCCGGACTGCAGCTGAGAATGCATCTGGAGGCTGACCAGCAAGCCCACAGAAAACCTCAAAGACTCCACGTTGCCTGTCCAGGTGTTCCTCCCTCTTCCGCTCCTGCCACTGTGTGGTGCTGTGGATCCGTCCACCTGTTGCCCTCCCACAGACCCTGTGGGGCCTCCCTGGCCTATGGAGTGGGCTCCTGCTCCAAAGTGCCCCGGGGCTGGCACTGAGAAGGCATTCCAGGACCATGAATGTACGATCCCCTGCGTCTGTTTCTAAAGAGTCCTGTTTTTCTTTCTGCTCCTGGAGCCTCACTCCTTCATGGCAACTGCTTGCTAGCTCACTTCTGCCACCACAAACATCAGAAACCACAAGCATCGCAAGAAAGAACCTGCAAAGCTGTAGCGCCCAGGTGTGCAAGCAGCGCATCAGCAAAGGCGGCCCGCCACGTGCACACCCGTCACCAACTGAGCGCTCACGTGCAGTCTCGGAATCCTCGGGCCTTCTCCAGGAAGCAAACTCTTTCTCCCGGCCCCCTCCTTCCTAGTTTGTCCCATGACTCATGCCCGCGCCCGGCTAGCAGGAGAGCGTGGTCCGCTCGTCAGGGTGGCACAAAAACCTCTACACCATGACTAGGCAGAAAAGCAACCGGAGCCGGCCAGCGCCCGGGCCTCACAGGCGCTTAACTTCCCAGGAGATGCGTGCGGGGGTGTGGCCGGGGCGGGGCCAGGGCAGGGCCCTTGCACCCCCGGCGCCTGAAAACTGCACACCCGCCCGCTCCACGATTGGCCGCCCTGGCCACGGGGGCCTATGGGGTGGTCCTCGCCTGGCCAATCAGGGGCCCCGGGGAGCCCATTCATTCACAAAAACCCAGCAAGACGAGGCCCGGAATTGCCTAGAACTTTGAAACACCCGCGCGTTCCGTGGGGCCGACGCAGGAGTCCAGGAGGGCTAGACGCAGGAAGCTAGACGCTTGCAGGGACGGTTGTGTCCCTGCCCACAGTTCCGGCCCGGCAACCCGGGCGTGGCGCGCCCTCCTCTTGGGCCACACCAGCGCCGGGCCCCGCCCTGGACCCCATTAGGACACGCCGGCCAAGCCACCCAACCCTGAGGAAGGCGGCGCCAGGGCAGCTTCCCGGCAGTGAGGCCCAAGCAGGTGGCCGGCGGCCCCCCATCCCCGCCCCGTTCCCTTCCTCCCCAGCCGTCCAACTCACGGCAGTCATCCTCGTCGCTGTTGTCCGAGCAGTCGTCGTCCTCGTCGCATCTCCACACGGAGGGGATGCAGCGCTCATTCCGACACCGGAATTGGTCCTCTTCACACTCTTTGACCGGCCCTACTCGGGGGAGAGGGGGGCGTGAGCCGTATGCACGGACAGTGCAGTCCTGGCCGCAGGGAGGGGTCTACTGGGGCGAAGGAAAGGAGGCGATAATGGAGCCGAAGACCTCTGGGGGCCTCGGGAGCCCTGGATCCGGAAGGAGGGCAGAATGGTAATGGGATGGCGGGCTGCTCCGTGGCATTACGAGGCCAGACACAGTCGGTGTCACACGACTTGGGTATACCCCCCATTGAGAACACTCACCCGCACTCACGGCCCACAATCAGAGATCTACGCAGACACAGACCCACAGGGAACCCCCGCACACGCCGCGACACACGCACTGGGCGCTGCGGGCTCAACCCCTTAGCATGCAGCCCCTCTTTCTCCGCCGCGCGCAGGGGTCGCCGGAAACGCATTGTCAGGCGGGGAAGTCGCCCGGCTCAGCTCACCGCCGCCGCGGAGCGCGCGTGTCAAATGAATCCCGCTGGCTGGAATCATGCAGCCCACCCGGAACCATCAATGACCACCCCCGCCCCCTCACAAAGTTCCCGGCCCGCCTGGCCCCCACTGGGCCCATCCCCCAGGAGCAGGTGCCAGAAGGCAGAGCCAACGACGCCGGGAGCCGTGGGGGGCGAAGGTCGAGGGCAAATTAAAGGATAGATGGGTCGCGAGAAACCTATCCCCACCCCCAGGCCCGGGCTCACGGAGCCCAGCGAAACCCGCAGCCCGGTCGCCGGGCCGCGCTTTGTTGGCGGCTCCGGCGGCGCAGAGCCGGGCGGGGGAACCAGCCTCACGCACCTTGGCCGCCGCGCTGTGGATCAGCCGCTGCCGCCGCCGCGAGCTGTTGGAGCCGCAGCGGCAGCAGCAGCAGCAGAAGCAGCAGCGGCGCCAGCGGCGCCAGCGGCCGGAGCGCGCCCCGCTCGGGGCGGCCCATGGCGGGCCCCGGGCTCCGGCCGCCGCGCCCCGCGCACCCCGTGCGGCTGCCGCCGCCGCGCCTCAGCCCGCCGAGTCCTCGCCGCGGCGCCGGGGCTGCCGCTGCCCCCGCCGCCGCCGCCACCGCTGCCGCCCGCCCCGGCTCCTCCGCTGCATTTCAAGCAGGTTCCGTGACGCTCGGCGGCGGGGCGGGCTCAGGCTGGGCGCGCGGCCCCGGCCCTGGGCGGCCGCCGCCGGCGCGCGCGCCCCCTCCCTCTGCCGCCTCCGCCCCCACGCTCCTCCAGTTGCTGCAGCCTCTGCCTCCTCCCTCTTGTCCTAGGTCCACTCCTCCCTCAGCTGGCGCGCGGGCACCTAGCTGAGGACCCGTTGGGCGCCGCAGATGCTGGGATGAGCCGGGCGAGGTCCCTGCCCCAGAGGAAGCAGACAGGCCAGGGGAAGCAGCACTGGGTGCCTGGAGGCTAAGAGAAGGCTGAGGAGGGGTGCGTAAGAGTAAACCTCGGTGGGAGGCGAGATGCTCCCTGGTGCGCAGGCTGTGCAATGTGCACATGGGGCAGAGGTGATGGTCGTGGATAAAGGTCAGCATACCGGGAAGTGTGAGATCAGGGAGAAGCTCTGGGAGCTGCACTGGCCCTCTGCACCCCTCATCCGCTGCCCCCCAGATACGATGCATGCGTGTAGTAGGTTCGCGTGCCCATGTGCCTCTGTGCATGTTATGTGCTCATGTGACCACGGCTGAGGACGTGAGGCAGATGGCTTGGGCCTGGCGCACATACTTTATATATTCATCGTCTAAAGCATTCTTCGTCAGGCAAAGGGGCGATGAGGGTCACCTGCAGGGCAACACCCAGTCTTTGCTGTGATAGGGAAGGGAGGGGACTGGGGCACTCCACAAAAGGGATGTGTTATTCCTGCTTATAGGGAACGCACATCCAGGGCCTTTGTTCACCATTTGTATAAAGGAGAAGTCCCCTTCTCTAGTCGATCACATCCCCAACCCACCCAGGCCATGGTGCAGAGAGCCGACCTGGGACTAGATTTTCCCTGCCTGCTGGTCAGTAAGGCTGATCCCGCACAACCTTCTTTGGAGAATGAGGTTTGAGGGCATTGGCCACTAAGAGACAGACTGGCAGGTGTCTGGGCCCAGTGTAGGTCCACCATCCCATCTCCTCCTGCCACTTCACCTCCATGGCAGAGGGGCAGGAAAAGGAGCTTCAAGAGCTGTTCATCCCAGTCCTGGAAGCCACTGTCTGCCAGCAGCCCTGTTCCTGAGCCCTATTCCTTCCCACAAACGACAGCCCCTTGGCAATGGCTGCAGCTACCTCGTAGGAGAGGGGCGCAGACCCCAGAGAGCCCAGCAGGCATTCTTGCCATTAGCCCTTCTAGCTTTTGTTCATTCAGTCATTTAACAAGCATAGTCAGCCCTGCTCTGTGCCAACACTTCGTGGGTTGACACGGTACCAGGATGGTGAAGTCCCTGACTGGTGGGGAGACCAGCCATCCACACACAGGCAACGAAGGACATGCACGCTTTCAACAAAAACTTAGGGAGCCCCTCTTCGTGCCCAGCATTATCTGCAGCCCAGGGGTAGAGTGTAGAAATACAGGAGGTCCCTCTTTGCTCTCTTACAGCTTACAACTTACTTGGGAGAGACAGACACAAAAGCAAGAAAACAAAAAAGGATAATTTCAGATAATCATAACTGCTATGAGAAAAAATAAAACAAGGTGATAGGATCATCTAAAGAAACTGGTTCCCACCTCTGGTTCAGTTTCTTCATCCAAAATGAGAATGATGACAGAATTCCTCTCAGAGGGCTGTGAGGATTATAGTCAATGAAGAGATTATGCATGGGCAGCATGAAGCATACAGCTGGTACATAATAACTTAGGTATGTTACTATTATTCAAACAGAATTCCCTGTTCAAAACCCCTGATGACTTCCCAATACTCAAAGAATAAAGATTGAGCACAGGCGTTCATTGACCTCCCCTCCAAAGGAGGACCTTTGCTCATATGGTCTCCCCCAGATCCAGTTGTCTAGATGGACAACCTCTTGTTTCTCAACAGCCCCTCATCAGAGATCCTCCAGGCTCCTCGAAATCCTCGGCCAGTTTGGACTACTTCCTTCTCTCCCTAGTCAGCCTGTGACCCCCCTGAGACAGACTCACAGGTGTGCACATGACCTTCCTGAGGATAGGAAGAACCTGTCCTGCGTTTCTGGGCCTCTGGCATGGCACGAATTTGACCAATATTTGTTTCTGCCTCACTGAAGTTTTCTGTACCCCTGGGAAGACTGTGTCTTATTGATCTTTATTTTCAGAGGATAAGTACAAGGTCTGGCAAAAACAAGCATTAGGTAAATGATGTCTAAATACTTGGAAAAGTCAAAAGGCAAATCATATCAAGTAATAATAATAACTACTTCTCACTGCACACTTGGGGTCAGGCACCATTGAAGAGCATTTTTTTTTAAGGATTTTATTTATTTATTTGAGAGAGAGAAAGAGCACGAAAGAGGAGAAAGAACAAACAGGGAGTGGAGGGAGAGGAGCAGAGGGAAAGGGAGAAGCAGACTCCCTGCTGAGCAGGGAGCCTGACATGGGGCTCCATACCAGGACCCTGAGATCATGACTTGAGCCAATGCTTAACCAATGGAGCCATCCAGGTGCCTCATCTAAGTGCTTTAAATGCTTTAACCCATTGAGTCCTTATAATATCCCCATGAGTCAGGTCATATGTTTATTCCATTTTACAGATGAGGACACTAAGGAATAGGGAGGTCACACAGTTGGTAAATGGCAGCAAAGCTAGCACTTGAACCCAGGTGGCAGAACTGGGAATTTTTCAGGGCACGTAAGCTGGTTAATTCCAGTGAGGGGCAAATGGAGAAAGCCCAGCTCTTGACAGATGTCAGACACTAAAGGGACCCTGAGGAATAGCTTCTGCTGCCTTGGTGACTTGTCCCCACCTGTCCTCTCTCTCCATTCTGGGCTGACTCAAGTATACAGACCTTGCCCACTTCTGGGTTTCCAATGAAAATCCCCAAACCCAACCTCAAGTGCAGTGAATTCCTCATGAGACAGAAACAGGTGACTTCCACCTGCTGTCAGCACAGCAATATCCCCCTCCTAAGCCTCCATGTCCTGCTTCCAAAACTGCTAGGGGCCCAGCCCATGCCCATTCCACTCCCTCATACTGGCCCCCCAAAACTGGAGTTTTAGGCTTTTGCCAGTCTGTACCCTCTGTCTAGAACACTTGTGCACTGACTGACTTCTATTTCATCCTTTGGGCCTGAGCTCAAATGCCTCGTCCTCTGAGAAGCCTTCCAGCCTCTTCCAGAGAGGTCGCAGTCAGGGCTTTCTATAAACCTCTGGAGACTCCCTTGACTGTCCTTATGCTAGGTGAGGGGCACGGATAAACAAGACTACATCCTTGCCTTTGAGGATCTCTGATCTCGGGGCCAGACGGTGAGTGTGCAGGGTGATGGGAACCTCCGATGGGGCTACTCAGGGATGTCAGATTCCCACACCCGGGTACCCAAAGCTAGGTCCCCCATCCAGCTAGGGTAAACACACTGGCGACCTGAATTAATCACGGCTGAACTGTAAGGGCACCAGGGCTCTCCCACTGTCCGTCACCTTCACTTCACAGAAGTCTAGCCCCAGTCCTTCATATTGGCCTGAGCCAACTGAGCATTTCTCTTTGCCCCTGTCTCTCTGTATTTCTTTCTCATTCTGTCTCTTTTTGATTAGACAGAATATCTTCATTCCTGTAAAAAAGGGATTCTAATTCATTACATGAACTTTATATAGATCCAAACTGCTAGAGTTTAAATCCCTTGCTAACTGTGTGACGTGGGTCAAATTGTATGAACCCTCAACATCCTTATCTGTGAAATGTGGGCGACAATGTTACATAATAATATTAATTATCTATTGCTACATAACAAAATATACCCCAAATGAGCATCTTAGAACAACAACAGATATTTATTATCCCTCCCAGTGTCTGTGGGTCAGGAATTTGGGAGGAGCTCAGTTGGGTCACAGTGTTAGCAGGACTGTGGTCTTCTGAAGGTTTAACTGAGGCTGGAGGGTTGGGGTCATCTCACTCACATGGCTGGGAAGTTCATGTTGGCTGTTGGCAGGACGACTCAGTTTTTCACCACACAAATTTCTCCATGGGGCTGCTTGAGTGTTCTCACAACATGGCGGCCGGCTTCCCCAGAGTTACTGATATGAGAGAGAGACAGAGAAAACAAGGAGGTTTATGATCTAACTATGGAAGGTGCACCACATCATTTCTGGAATATCCTACTGGTTAGCAGATGCGCTCTCGTCCCTGTGGGAAGGGTGTCTACAGGAGTATGACGGCCAAAAGACGAAAATCACCATGGGGCTCCTGGAGACGGGTTCTACACTACCTCACAGAGTTAGTGAGGATGAACTAAGTTACCATATATAAAGTGCTTGGAAGAGTTTTCAGTACATTGCACGTCCTACGTGAGTGTTTGCTGTTGTTGTTGTTGTTTCTCTGAGTAAGAGTATAGAGTACACGTTGCATAATGATTATCTATTTACCAGGAACATTGTTGCTATTCGTTGCAGAACCCCTTCGTTATGCAGATGAAGACACCCAGGAACCTGAGAGGATGAAGGCATTTCAGGGCTTCACAGCAGAGCACAGGCCAAGTAGGACAGGCCCAGCATGGGTTTCTTGCCTCCTGGCCATGTGCTCTTAGGAGAGCTGGAGTCACTTCTCCCTCCTTTGCTGCCTTGCTGTTGGACACTGAGCAGGTACCTTTCCCTCTCTGGGCTTGGCATCCCCATCCCTCACATGAGGGGTTGGACAAGTCAGTATTTTCCATGACCACTCCTTCTCACCCTCCCTGAATGACTTCCTCCCTTTCACTTACTTCCTCTCCTGCCAGCCTCGATTTTCCTTTAAATCCTTTCACTTAATAAACTTAGCTTCATACTAAGCAACAACCTCCATGAAAT